GACTTGTACTTGGTACTTCAACCCCATTAAGTATGTCAAGTACTTGTATATCAAATACTTAATGTCCTTAGTGCATAAATTGTAAATACTTAGTACTTTGTGTGAAGTACTTAAGGCTTGAACAATATTAAGCACTGAATAAGTACAGTATTTAGTACTTAGTACTTGAGTACATTAAGATTTACTAAATCCTTGAATACATTCTACTTGTACTTGGTACTTCAACCCTACTAAATATATCAAGTACTTATATATATCAAATACTCAATATCCTCAGTAAATAAATTATAAATACTTATTACTTAGTCTCCAATAATTAGGGCTTGAACAATACACAGTACTGAATGAATCCAGTACTTAGTACTTCGCCTACACCAAGTACTAATCATATTGAGCCTGCATAACTGCTCAAAATACTGAGTACAATGTGTACTTGACGGGCTGAATTCCTTGAGCAATTAGTACTCAATAGTGCATGAGTACTGAGGATTAAGTACTTAAAGGTTTTGTCCTCATTGCCATTCCCAATCCTATAAGTACCCTAATTACTTAGTACTTTAAGTACTGCAGCCTTAATACTTCAACTACTAAATACACGATACTCAATTATGTGGTACTTAAAGTACTAAAGTATTAGTACTTGACTAGAGAACAAAAATAGGTACCTTAAGTATTTAATTATCAAAGTACTTGGTACTTGTGCCATGTGAAGTAGGCAATAGGAGAAATATGGTAGTACTTGCCAAGTATCAAGTACAAAGTAGTCAAGGTACTTTTTTTTTTACTCACGAATAAAAGTACCTATTTACTCAGTCGTGCCCATCACTGAATCTAGCAAGAGCAATCGAAACTGACGCGCTCTGTGGAGTGTTCGAGACTGCGGTTGGACACCGCGTGCCGTCACTAGAAATAGTCTCAGAATGAGAATAGCTGAGATGCTGATGCAAAATACAACCCGTTAACTTTAATCTGTAAATTTTCACTTTGTCATTCAATTCCTCCATTATATCCATTTTATCCGAATAATCAATGGCACATTGAGAATATTCAACTGAACCGCCTTAGTTATCAATGATTCGGGGATTTCCCCTCTTCACACTTAGAAAGGTCAATGATCCCGAGCATTTGGCACTGCGGCACTAATGCTCACTAATTTCAAACTAGATTAAAAAAACAAATTGAGCAAACGGTGGGGCACGTTGAGATGGTAATGCCGAACTGACACTATGGCTCTTCCATTTTTCACCGGTAGATTCTCTCTTTCTCCAGTGAATTTCTCCGGTATCGAGCAGAATAGGGAATGGAGCTCCGCGGCTGCGCCAATTCCTCCATGCTAACAGTCCGTGGAGACATGGATAACAAATTTGTCTGATTGTTTTCAATTTCAATTCACAGCCAAGTGCTTTTAGGAGTTACGGGATTCGAGGGACGGAGGAGACGTGCCAGAGATTTTTGGACCAACA